CAAAACCTCAAACCATCAACTACAGACCCTAAACCTTGAACCCTCAGCCCTTATCGCTTCGACCCCAAAAGCCTAAACGCTAGGTTGGTGCAGGTATGGCTGAGAAAACCACGATGCCAGAATTTTGGAGTGGAGGGTGCGCTGTTCTTGGTCCTCTCAGCCTTTTTATCCACAACCTTGTCCAGAGTGAACCCAAACTCAGGGTTTCGGGATTCGGGTCTAAGCCCTCTGAACCCTAATGAACCCCATCTACAACATCACCACAAGGCCTGCACCAGCAATATATACCGCTTGCCACTGCAGACGATGCTGAACAAGTGCAGGAGATTGGAAAACCTGAGTCGTCGACTAATGGCGGCCTCTGGCACAACATCTGGAAAAGCAGGGGAATCAAGATGCTTAGGCGCAGGCTGCTCGCCGGACTTCCTTCTGCTCACCATTACTCCCAACTTAGATGAGGCACAAGGATAAGGTCTTTGCGCCGCCATCACACTTGGGAGAGGGTGTTGGAAAGGGCTTGGGTTTGTTGGGGTACGGACTGAACTCCCTCAGGGCTTGGGGCTCAGCATTTCGGGTTTGATTCGGGTTCCGGGCTTCAGGGTTTGTGCACACGCTGAGGCTTGCCATGTGCAGTTTAGCCGCAAACTCATCGCCATTCGCAATTGCAGAGTTCATTGCTTCGATCAGTGACCTGCAAACAAAGTGTGAACTCATGCATGCATCCAACATCGTCTCTCCTGTGAGCATTACACTGAGAGAAACCATGCTGCTCGCGACGAACCGGCTGAGGTCTGCACGGCTGATTGAAGCAACCCTGGCAGGATGGGAGCATGAGGCACACGTGCTCGTAATCAACCACACCCCCAAACCCTACAAAAACAAAGATCTATAGGGCTCGTCTAGGATTGCAATGCTTTTCGCCTGTGTTGGCAAGACTGCCTCTCGAGTGCCTGATGGGAGTTCGCGAGACATGCGTCTTGTTTCCCACGAGGTCCCAAGGAGCTTAAGGAGTCCAATGGCTTTCATATACGGTATGTCAAGCAACTCCTGTGCGTTCGAAGTTTAGCGAAAGGGGCCCTACATCTCTCAACCCCTAAGCCCTAAGCCCGAGGACCCTAAAGCACAAGATCCCAAACCCTAGAGCCCTAAAAACCCTAAACCCATAGAACAGCAACCCGAAACCCCCGAACCCTCACTAAGCTCCCTGAGACCAGGGTCTGCAGCAGTTGGAGGGCAGAACTTCGGCAAGCAGGCCTCTGTCATGAAATGACATGGGAGTCCAAGAATCTCCATCCTGTGTCAGGGAAGGCCGACAAGTCTCAAGCGTTAGAGGATACGGCTTGGAGCTATTGGAGAGGAAAGGAGGCCTTGACTATGGTGGTTACCCCAGAACTAATGCGGCCATTTCTGTTTTGGGGCACTTAACGAAGGATCATAATTCTGAGACCTGACCGACGCATCCATTTCCATGGCCCAAGGAAGTCTCAAGTTTCACCTTAGTAAACTTCTGAAAAGAGAACCCATACAGCTTAACGTGCACCCACTGGACAACTAAGCACGCTGAACCGACCATATCCATACAAGTATGTCCAGCATCCCAAGGCATTCGCACCCCCTGGCCTGGTGAATCCACTGAGCTGCTCGAATCCATCCTTGCTCAAGCGCATGCACCACACTGGGCAGCTCGCTGCCTGAACCCTGAAGCCCGAAACCAAGGACTTCCGGAATAGTGTGATGTGTATATGTATAGACACACATATTGTATCAGATGTAGCATCGAATACAAAATCTACGCTATTATATATATATATATATATATATAGAATCTCGCTGATATCTGCTTTTCCAAATACAAAAAGAGCAACGTCTGACGTATGCCAAATGCATGCGCATACTGACACAGCAAACACGCATACTGGGCAATGTAACACATATACATATACACGTGTGGTTGTGCGCTTGCGCTCGCTCCCCCCGCCCCACCCCATGGTATCGGAAACCCCTGAAACCCTAAAACCCTAAGCCCTACACCCTAAACCCGAAGCCCTACACCCCAAAGCCAAGCGCATACTTCGTGGAGCTTCTCTGTACTGCGCTACAACATACGATACCCACTTGAGCCCTACACCCCAAAGCCAAGCGCATACTTCGTGGAGCTTCTCTGTACTGCGCTACAACATACGATACCCACTTGCGCACCAAAGCTCAGAGCAGCCGATGATGATGGAGCCATCCAGGCCCGGCTCAGCAAGCCTCGATGGATTCTGGGCTTCTTGCGCACCATCTAAAGCTGAAAGTCACATGGAAAGCGAGCAGGGTAACATGAGCACACGAGCTACGCCAACTCCTGCTAAGAAGAAGATGAGCAACCCTTTGAGGGTTTTTCAGGCAATGGCAGAAGCTGGGCTGCTCTAGGGATTAAGAAAGGCAAGGGGTGACCGCTAGTTTCTGGCGCGGTGATGGGAGGCATCCCGAGAATCAAAACTCCGATCGGCCGCGAGTGGAACAAGCAAGGCCCAGGCAGCACACTGTGCTTGAGGCCAGACAAGGGGATCTGGCCAACCTCGCAAAGCATGGATCTCTTCACTGGAGGAACGGATTTTCTGGTGCTGCTATGACGGGAGATGCTTCGAAAGCCTCCATATAGGCTCATGAGTTTTTACTCAGGCACAGAGGCCATGCTGTGCATGAGGCGGCCAAAGCCCCCCCTGTCCAGCAGTTCAACGTCTGTGTCATCTTTCGCATCAGGGTTTTGCACTTTGTGCCCAGAAACAGCGCGGCGCACACAAAGGAAATTAACTTCCTAGCAGGCAAGCTAGGGATGGCTACACGGGACATCGTGGGGGGTGTCGGGCCTTGTTGAAGCACTGTTGAGGACCGTTCTGCATCCGCCTGGCGCCAGGACGCTTAACAGCTGCTGATAAACATCCTGCGATATCAGGCATCATCAGCCCATGTTGCCGCCGTTCACAACAACCATGGAGCTACTGGTAGCAAGACTTGCTGGGGCGCAGCCAGCCTGACGTTGACCGGGTTCCTGGATTTCGTCCCTGGTCGCTTGTGGAGTTCACGGAAACAACCGCTCCTGCAGCCGGGGAGAGGGGGGGGGGGGGGGGCGCAGCTTGATGATCCAGTCCGCACTCCCCAACCCACTCGCCTCGCTGGAAGAGCCGCCGCCGCAAGTGTGGTGGGAGCTGAGCTCCCCCCCAAAACAGACTTTTTGGGCCAAATGGTGCAGACCGGAAGCTGTGAAGCAGGGTTTTTTCGACTGCAGAGGGAGGCGGAAGAGGCAATCATCTGTCACTGATCTTTGCAGATCCCAGCCTAGGGTTAACCCCCTGCAACTGTAATCTCATCCGAACAGACATGTTGAGTGCCATGCCCTCAACCCTCAACCCTAGACCCTAAACTCTGAACCCCTAAACCCTGAAGCCCTAAACCCTCGACTCGAGAGCGGCCATGAAGGTGTGGTGCAGGAGATGGTTATTGAGCACCGTCAGCGCGCGCCTCAAATGGGACGCGAACACAAATGCCAAGATCATCCCAAATGGGCATTTTCCTAAGTAGAGAGGCCGGGGGGGGCTACCCTTAATATACCCAAATAGTATAATCCTTATTGTAAGAAACCCCAAAAACCGGTACCCCCATTTTCGGAAACCCTCAAATTTTGAGAGGCCAGGGGTCTGTGATTCAAGTTCACAGTCGCTACTCAGCCTGAGCCCAGCACTTGACATCCTCTTTGGCGCCTGAGACAAAATCTCACGGAGTCTGAGACTGTTCGAGCCAAAGAGCGATGGTGGCCGAGGATCGAACAGGCTGTGGCTTCAGGTACTTCCGGGAACTTGCCCATCATCTGGCCGAAAGGGGGCACATGGCCAGCACTTCTGCCAAAAACAGCTCAAGAATACTTTGGGGAAACCAAAGCATGTCTCGGCAACCCCCTCAAGAGCGACCCTCAACCCCTCAACCCAATCAACCCCAATTAAAACCCAGAAAAAAATCAAGCCTAAGCAAGGCTGCCCAACCCCTGAACAACCAGCCAGCAGTACCGGGAGGACCCAGGTGCAAAGAGGGACCTGCCGAGAAACACACGACGCTCCACTCAGAAAGCCAGTCTTCAGGCCAGCAGCTCTCTAGGGCCCCCTAAACCCTAAACCCTAAACCCTAAACCCTAAACCCTAAACCCTATAAACCCTAAACCCAAAAAGGGCCCTAAACCATCTGAACCCTAAACCCTAAACCCAAAAAGGGCCCTAACCCATCTGAACCCTAAACCTCCTTCTCGGACTCACGTGGACTCGCGCCACCCGACAGGCATTCCGAGCTAAGGCCTTCCCCATAGCTAGTTGCAAACACTGCTAAACCCCAAACCCCAAACCCCAAACCCTAAACCCCAAACCCCAAACCCTAAACCCTGAACCCTGAACCCTAAACCCTAAACCCTAAACCCAAAACCCTAAACCCTAAACCCTAACCCTAAACCCTAAACCCTAAATCCCCATACTTCGTCAAAGGTTCATACTTCATCCTGTGGCCTCAAGCTCGTGCGAGCAGAACTCGATCCAGGAGTCGATCATGCCGCCCTTGCGCCCCGGTTTCGGGTTTAGGGTTCAGGGTTTAGGGTCTAGGGTCTAGGGTTTAGGGTTTAGGGTTTAGGGTTTAGGGTCTAGGTAGCCCTAACTGAACCCCTAAATCTCCAAAGCCCTAAGCCCCCAAACCCCTAAACCCCTACACCCCTGAACCCCTAAAAACCCCCAAACCCCCAAACCCCCAAACCCCCAAACCCGAAACCCTTGCATTCAAAATTTGGGGTTTGGGGCGTAGAGTAAAGGAATTCCACACCTCCCAAGCCCGAGATCGTTCTTTCCGAACTTCAGCTTCTAAACACGCTCAAAGCCCCTAAACCCTAAACCCTAAACCCTGAACCCTAAACCCTAAACCCTAAACCCTAAACCCTAAACCCTAAACCCCTCAACCCTAAACCCTAAACCCTAAATCCTTCAAGCATCCTCCAGGAGATTCTGGCCGTAGAGGCCGACGACTCGGCTGATTCTTGCGACGTACCTTGGGGTTTTGGGGGGTCAGAGGGCAGGAGCTTGGGAGGTTGGGAGCTTAGGAGCTTCGGAGCTTAGGAGCTTGGGAGCTTAGGGTCCAGGGTTGCCAGATACAGGGTTCATGGCTTCGACTTTCGGAATAATTTGGTCAGAAACTGCGAATGATGTGGGAGTCGATTTGGGAGCTCCTCTCCTGGGCTCCCCTGCCTGGCTATGGCTCCACTGGTGAAGATGCATCCCTTGTCCGTCTCGAGCACAGGGATCTGCCCAGAGCTGCATGGGATTATCAAGCCTTTGAGGCGCCTCAAGAAGGAAGAGTGGCAACAGCCACCATGTCAAATTGATCTTCCTCACCATGGGCATGCCAATACACACGGAAGTAAATTGCAACATCGCGACCCTTCAGATGACCTCAAACAGCCGCAAGGAAGTGGTTCGAGCTTCAAGGCCCACCTTGCCCTCCGATGCCACGCCTTGCTCCGTGGGGCAGGACACCTGCCAAGGCCCACATGTCGGTACAAAGTCAAAAAGCAAACCAAACAGAAGCTTGCTGCATGGCAACCATCTCTATTGCGTGGGTGTTCCTTGCATGTCAGAATGCCCTGCGCTTGGCACTGCACTGCCTCCATGCCCACATATTGCGCAGCAATCAAGACCTGTGCTGGAGGTACCGGGGAGTTTTGGGTTCAGTTTAGAACTTTTGGAGTTTGGGGGCACGAAACTCTGTGACGCTCACCTGCCTGGGGGGAAGCCCACACCCTGGATCCACTGCCAGCCTTCTTGGTCTTGTAGTCGCTCGCCGCGGCATAAAGTTTCAGCGGCATCCCGGCCACCGAAGGCCTTCCTACGCTCCTTGCGGGACAAGGCCGGGTTGCGCACCGAGATGGATTGGACATTTTGTCGTTAGGCGCAATATCGCGAGGCTCCCTTACATTTCCTTGCATTCGGCTACATTACATGTCAACAGATCACGTTCCACACGCATGCGCGCGCACGAAGTCCAATGCGCACACACAGAGACACCGACGCAAAGAGGGAGCGGTACTCTGGAACTCCCTGAGAACCCTCCCACTGGGTCCTCGAGGTGCCCCTCGGGCTGCAAAATTGCTGGAGCCGATATCGGCATACGCAGCGGTTCAGCGGTTCATGGTGTAGGGGTTCAGGGTTTGAAGGCTCAGGGGGCCACGTCTGAAACATGGGGGTTGTAGGATTGAGGTTACTCACGGTTACTCGGGTTACGAGGGAGGTGTCTGAGATTAGGGGTTTTGGGGCGTGGGGTTGATTCAGAACGGTCAGGGAATGTGGATGTCACCGTCTCACGCACCCGAGGTCGACTGCGCTCTCCGCATTTTTTTGGAGACAGGTGCTCAAGGTGAAAGCCGTGCTTCGGGGGAGGGGGGGTCACCTCTTTATCCAAAGCCTAACCCATGGAACCCAAAACTTGCATTCCTGAGTATGTAGAGGCGTTCATGCTACTGGATCTATCACACAACGGGGACACAATCAACTTCAAGATGCCAGGGCATAAAGTGACTTATGTTGTTGTTGGGTCGAATTTCATGGATTGAGGACCGGGGCTGGGTCTGGAAGGGTTGGCACTGGAGGCGACATACTGCCCAACGACAAACTTATACACAAGAGTGCGAAGGAAAAGCATACAAACCCAAGCTTGCCAGGCTTGGTCGGCTCAGAACGCCAGCCCGTTGATGAGCTAGAACGATTCAATGAAAACCCGAAAGGTTTAAACGTTCATGGCTGCCCGAGACGAACGAGCTTGCCAATTTCAGTGAAATTGGCAAGTGTTCCTCCTACCAAGGGCTGTTGTGAAGAAAAAGCTCATGCACCCGCTTCTTTCCACGCGCTGCGCTGCACGGGTTTGAGCATCCAAGCGAGGAGTGCGACGCCATCCATCCCTCCAGTTGCACCCCGGGCCCGGCGGAATGGACAAAGTGTTCCGGGCGCATCTGAAGCCGGAACCTTTAAGAAGCCCTGCTCACCTGACTTACACCCTGGAAGCCTAAACCATTCTAAAGCCCAATTGTACCAACTTTTGCCTGAAGCCAAAAACCATCACAGACGGGCTATACTGCTTATACCCTGAAACCCCAAACCGTAAACCCAGCCCTAAACACTAAACTCTGCCAAGCCCTGTAACCCTCCTCAACCTCAAAGCAGCTAGACGAAGATTCGCTTCAGGACTTAAGCGAAGGCTCAGAGCAGCAGCTTGCAGATGTCGCCCCCGTTGTCTAGGCAAGGCTCAAGAGTGATGTGTGCGTGTGAGCGTGAGCGTGAGTGTGAGTGTGAACGTGAGCGTGAGTGTGAGTGTGAGTGTGTGCGTGTGGAAAGGCTTGTTGACAGTCGCGCGGAAGCGTTGCCGAACTTGTGGCCGCAAAGCTCATCACCCATGAATCCTAAAAGCACCTAAGCCTCTAAGCCAAAGCTGAGCAGCTTCTGCGCAGCCCAAGCCGGCGCCACCAGCCTGAGTTTTGCCCATAGTCTGAGTTTTGCCGGGAAGCTTTCTGAAGGCCTCTTGGTTTAGGGTGGCCTCCACGCCTAGTCCTGAGGCCCTCTACCCCTTCGAGCCCTAGAATGGGCCCCAAGCTCCAGAGTGCCCCGAAGAACCTTGGGCACCTTGGGATCAATCCTTAACAATGCAAAGCCCAGGATGGCCCACGCCAAGGCGCTGATCTCTTGCGCGGGGTTTTGTTCAGGTATTCTGGGTCGGGGAGGGTCGAGAGGGTTCCGGTATGCACCTGCTCTGACACATGGCCGGACTCCCCAAAGCTCGCATTTCCTGTCTTTAGTGCTTGGGACTTACTCGGGACGGCTTGGAGCAGCTTTGAACACAACATGACTACTTCAGACTTGCCGCGCAAGTTGCTGGTCTCTCATCGTTGCAGCCAGCTGGCCTTTCGGCGTTCTCTTGAAAAACAAAACATCACACAGGTACAGCATGTAATGGTGTAGGTCACTTTTTGTGTTTGGGGGTAAGGGTTGAGATGGCTCGAGAGGGCTTGCAGCTTCGGGGTTGATTCGGCTCCAGGTGACTCGCGGCAGCTTCTGCTGCAAGCCACGTGATGCCGCGTGCCAGGATGGCGCAGAACAGCATCGACAACGCCCCAAAACCCGCAAGCCCTAAACTGAAGCCCAGTCGCAAGCCGCCGAAGTACTGGGCGACGTCCGAGACCACATCCTGCGCCATGGCGGAAGTTGGGGTTAGGCGGAGGCTTTTCGGAAACCAGCAGTTCGGGAGTTTAGGCTTTGATTGGGGGTAAGGGTTCAAATTAGCGTTTTGTCCTCGGCCATATCCATGAGGCCACGTGTGACCTAGGAGGACAACCCCAGAAGGCTGTGAAAACAGGAGTTCAAAAAGGCAGGTCTTTGCTGGAGCTGCTTGGTCTTCAAAAGCAACGAACTCTCCAAGCAGCCCGAGTTGGTACGTATCTGGTGTAGGCTGCAGAGTTACCTGTCTTTTTTTGTACGGATTGACTCGTGCTTGGTATGGGTTCGGTAAGCCGTCCCTATGTCTGCTTCGGGTCTGCTGGAGGACCCTGAACAACCCGAGAGCAACCAAAACATTAACTCCAGAGTTTACTGTCTCCTTCCTAAACTAATCGTTAATCTCTTGAGAAGGAGACGGTTTTTAAACAAAAGAAACCTAAAGCTTAAAATCCAGACGGGAACCCTTAACCAAAAGCGATATCCTCCCCAAATCCTGACCCTTATCGTTGGGAAATGCGCGGGGTCGGGGGGGGCAAGGATTGCTTCTTGACTTTGCAAATCTTGGGGCCCGTGTGGGGCTTGAGATCCGAGAGGCTGCCCACAAATGTCCAAGCACTCCATCCGTCAGAGTATGCCCTCGGCGAATTTCGGAGGGCCGCGGGATTCGGGTTTAGGTTGTCCTGCTCGCGCGGGTGCTTTGGGGTCTACAGCTCCAAATGCATCCCTAGCCCAGCCACGAAGCCCCCAGAAGCCCCAAATTTTGGGAAGCCCTCAGCCAACCCCGAACGTCTAAGCCCCTGATCACTTAAACCCAAACCCGTTACAGACTTAGGGATTTATGCGGCTAGACGTGGTGTGCTTTCGCATGGTGGATGGTGGGGAATCCAGGGCGGTAGAGTCTTGAGGACTTTGAAGCTTGTCTTTAGAGCTGGGGTTTTTGTTCCGGAGGGTGGTTTTGGGGGCCTTGGGGGGTTTTTGGGCCATTAGGGCTTCGACTCCGGGCTTAGAGCCTGTCCTGGATGTTCTTCGGCCGATTTTCTTGTTTTGGGGGATCCCTACTACGAGCGCGCTGTACGTCTGTCTTGTTACGCAAACATGCACACTGCGGTCCGCTCTCCATCTTCATCTAAACCCAAGAACTGCCTGCAACTCAACAGCTTCGCAGGTGAACCCTAGAGGCCCTAAACGCACACAGTCCCGGCTGAACAAGGCACCGATCAACCAAATGGCGGCGTCCGCGGAGCGCACATCGCTGAGCTTTGGAGAAAGCTCGACATCCTCACGAAGCCAAGTCAATGGCCGAGGGCCGTTTAGGCTTAGGGCTTTTGGGGGGCGGAATTTTGAAGTTGAAGCGGAGGAGGAGGAGGGCCTGGGCCAATAGGCATCGGGATCCAGGCTAGTAATTCCGCTAGTTAGGACCTCTTCGGGGACGATAGGGAAGAGGCCCGAATCCGCCCTGGTAAGACGAAACCGTCTCTTAAGAGCTTCGTGAAATCGGCGAGCCCACGGACGGTTGAGCAGCATCGAAAGACCATAATCTAACACCCTACACTTCACACATCTCACCACGGCGTAATCGGGAACTCCGAAACAGACCCTCTTCCCCCCTCATTTCCTACGTAAGTTGAGACCCCTAAACTCTCGCTTGGAGGTAGGCTGGGGCTGTTGAGGGCTTTGGAAGTCGGGCGCAGCTGGCGACACCCCCGAAACGCACCCGAGTTTGCTTCCGTGAGCTTCAAAAATCTCTCGATGCAGCTTTCCGGTTTGAGCGGCAAGCCTCCCAACCCCTTTTGGCCCAAGGTCCGGCACTACTTGAACCTTTCTCGAGGTACCGGGCTTCTAGGCACCCTGAAGCCTTGAACCATACGCCCCAAGATCTTCTCTGAAGGAAGCAGATGCTCCTCTGCACACTGCTCAAATTCCTTCATTGGGCATTCAGCTTCTCTCAAGGCCCAACCTGACACAACTCCGGACAATTGCCAGTCGCAGGACCCTGAGCTTATAAGAGAGCGTAAACATGAACACCTAATTCCGAGTGGTTCAAGGCCCGAAAAAACAAAAGGAGCGCACCCAACAACAAAAACCTGACAGGTGTCGCTGCTCACCTCTGGCCAGATGTAGGAATGCTGGAGGACGCCCTGCAGATGAACTTCTTGCTTTGGGGTCTGAGGGCCCAAGAAATGGTCTTCGGGTGAGGTTCTAGGGTTTAGGGTGCAGGCCACTAAGATCCTGCAGCGAGGTTGAGCAGGGGCTGCTTTTGCGCTCGGGTTGGCGGATCCCGGGCAGGAATCCTTTTGGGAGGTTTCGGGCGCGATGCTTAGAACCGATCGAGGCACGCGTGCGCACATCGGGGTTCACGGGTCTTGGAGTCTCTTCTTTGTAGCCTTGCTTCACGACCTCGCCGAACGTTCTGCACTTCTGATGCTGCGGCTTCCCGTGCGATCACCCTCATGCCTAAACGCATGAACTTAAGCGCCTAAACCCTTATCCATTCACCCTCAAATCTGAGCCTGAAACCTTACTGTAGCTCAACTTTGCAGCCACTGCTGTGCTTTAAACCATGCCCCCGAACCCTAAACCCTTTGCTGTGCTTGGAAGCCGGCCGGTAGCTGAATCTCTGGCATGGCACCTGAGAGGCTTCAAGACTATCTGACGGATTTGTGGGCTTTGGGCCTTGAGGGAAAAGAGGTGAGGGCTAAGACGGCTAAGAGCTATGCAGTTTTGATGGCATAGATGCCCGGATGCCTATTCTTGTCGGCTGGCGACCTTACGGAAAACCAACTGGCTTTGATGTGATCAAAGGCCCCGGTGCGAGCAGGAGGTTGCCTTCGCGCTGGGTCCAAAGAAGATGCCGGGCGATGTACTCAAGAAACCCTAAACCCTAAACCCTAAACCCTAAACCCTAAACCCTAAACCCTAAACCCTAAACCCTAAACCCTAAACCCTAATACCTAATTTCGAATTCGGGATTTCAGGATCGATGAAGGCGCCGGTGCCACGCAGTTGAGCAGTGCTGAAAATGCAACACGCAACTCTCCCCGAAACTTCCGTAAGAACAGCCTCAAACAGGGTGACGGTGCCCGTAAGTACGGGGCCGTGCGTTTGGAGACATTTCTGGGCTGAGTGCGATACGTTCGCGGGTGCAAAACTCGAGAAAACCGCACATTTTGCAATGGACAGCTGTTGGAAGTGTCGAAAACACTGGAGGGTTAGGCCAATTTTTCGCAAACATGCACTTTCGCTCGAAGTTTTTTTGGGGAGGAGTCTTTGTTTTTGAAGTTTCGGAGACGTTTTTTGCTTAAAATTGCGCTCGCCTAGGCGCGGGCGTGTTTTGCTCATGACCCATCTTGAACTTTCAAATTCGGATTCGGTGTTGTTCGGTGTCATGGGTCAGGCATTTCAGGCTCGAAAAAGCGCTTTCGCCTCAGCACGGGCGTGATTTCCTGGAAATGTGATTTGGTTGAAACCCAAGAGGATTTTTGTCCACTGGACCCTGAGAGCGGGCTTAAGTTGATTGTCCTCTTCAGGGTTTATGGTGAAGAGTGTAGGGTTCAGGATTTGGGCTTGCACTGCTCCCAGAGTTCGTTTGGGGTTGAGGGTGCTATCTTTTGGGATGCAGGTTTAAGGGTTGAGGTTTCAGACTTGAAGGTTCAGGGCCTTAGGGTTTAGGGTTTAGGGCTTAGGGTTCAGGGTGGAGGTGGCGAAACTCTACAACTCACTGACCACCCCAAAGCAGATAAATCCTCTTCACAAGCCATAGAGCGCCCCGATATCCACACTTCGAGCCGGCTTCTGCAGTACGGCTTGGGTCGCAACCGTCTAAACCCGACAACTCGCTGGAAGACAGTCTTCCCGGAACCCTGAAGCCTAAATCGTCCAAGCTCTGGTGGCTCATGGGGCTCAGGCCTTATATTGCCTGTTGCCAATGCGAAACGTTCGGCTCCCACCACGCGCCCGCCCCCTTCTCCCCAATCCAAAAAGAAGACCCAAAAACCTCAAGCTCCCAAGCAGGAAGGCATCTGGAATGCAACTGCTATGGCCCGAGGTTCCCGCCGACTGTGCGCGGCCGGGGTGCTTTGCCCCGTTCAAGCGATTCTAGAAGAACAGCTACCCTCAATCCAGTGCTCTGTCTGCTTGTCAAGAGGCCTTGCTGGCGGCTAAGAGATGGAAGCTTCACGCTTCAGAAGATGTCGAGGGCCAAATAAGCCGTGCTGGGCTAAGGGCTTCGGATGGTCTTAAGGAGCAACGGGTTTAGGATTTACAGCCTTGGGTTGTCCAGGGCTTTTAGGGGTTCCAAGGGCCCTCTAAGCGGCCTTGAAGCAAGCACGAGATTGTTCGGCTTGAGCCCGTCAGCCGGAGACGCATTGCCAGTTGCACAACGACTTCGGAGTTTTGCCCTGACCCTTTTCCTTCGACCTCTCTCCTAAAACCCCCCTGAGCCCCGTCCGAAGCCAAGCTCTATAAGCATCTGGGCTCCCTCAAACTCGAAACCACGGCCCTCTTCCTAGGCTGGTAGCATCAATGGCTTGTGGTACATAGGGGCTTCGGGACTTAGGGCTTCGGGGGCCTGCCCTTCGGGGTTTTGCGTGCGCATATGTGCCGGTGGGCCCGTGTGACAGGTTGATGTTCAAGCCACGAGTAGCAAGTCAACAGAACACGAGAAGCATGATTTCAGCAGTCCTACGGGTACTGGAGACAAAGATCCATCTTGTTTCGCGAGCCGCGCCACCTCTTTGGCTCTAAGCATCTAAGCGAGGAGGGTGACACAATCCATCCAGCACCTTGCACCCGGGGCCTCAGAGAATGAGGAGACGTTCCGAGCACTCGGAGCTCAACCCTACACACGCGGGAACCCCTTGGAAAACCCCGCGGCTACGACGAAGCAGCGCTTCAGGATTCGGGCACTCTCAGGCTTGAGGAAGCTCAGAGCAACTTCCAGACGTCGCCCACGTCGCCTAGGCAAGGGTGAAGTTCGATGGAGTTCGCGGGGTTCAGTGCTGGTCCCCTCCGCGCCAGCCCCGAGAATCCGATTCCCAAACCCTCCACCTCCTAAGCCCTAAACCCTAAACCTTCCTAAACCCGAACCTGTGTAGTGTCTAGGACTTAGGACTTGGAGTCAACCCATCACACGTCTGATTGAGGGCCGTGCCCTAAGAGCGCCCAGGATGCCGAAATCTACATTCGCCAAGAGGGGAGCTGGGCCACCGCGCCGTAGGAGTCGTTTGCTTCTCTGCGTTCCAGCTTGGAACCCGAGCTGCTTGAGCCTCTAAGAGTCTGGGCTTTGCCTTTTCCCTTCTCCTGACCTGCCGCTTTGCCTTTCTCGCCCTTCTCACCCTTCTCCTTGCCCTTCTCCTTTCCCTTCTCCTTTCCCTTCTTCGCACCTTTCTCAGCCGGCTGGCCTCCTTTCTCGACACCCTTCCCAGCCCCCTTCTCTTTGCCCTTCTCCCTGCCCTTCTCCGCACCCTTCTCCACACCCTTCTCCTTGCCCTTCTCAGCGCCTTTCTCCGGCCCCTTCTCCTTCCCTTTCTCCTTGCCCTTCTCCTTGCCTTTCGCTTTTCCTTTCTCAGAACCTTGGTCTCTGCCCTTCTCTTTGCCCTTCTCGTGCCCCTTCTCCTCATCGGCTGAAGCATGTTTAGTGTACTGCGCGACCCCCAGCAAGACCACAAAATCCCACAAGTTCATGCACCGCCCACGCGTCCTTGCCCTTGACGCCTTTGCCTTTGCCTTTCCCGATGGTCCGACTCGCGTCCGGAGCTTCCCATTCTTCCTCCGCGTCGGCTCCTGCAAGTCTTTTGGGAAGCATGGGTTTTTCTGGGGAGCCGAGGGATGGATGGTGCGACTGAATCCGCGATCTGAACCAACGCGGCCGCACTGACTGTTCAACCCTTCTCGGACATATCAACCGGAAGGGCAGACCTCCCCAACCCCCTTCTTCCCAACGCCTTCAGCATCCGCCCGAGGCCAGCCACTGAACGCCGTGGTCGGAGGCCTGCCAAGGCCGCACGGCTGAAGCCCTGAACGAACCTGCCGTCTTCGTGAATCTCGACGCCCGTCCCACCATGGATCTCAAATCTCTACGCCCCCCCCCCCCCCCCTCAAAAGCCAGAATTTCCTCCCTGAGCCGCTCAAGTGCTGGCAAAGCTCTCAGAGACCCCGAAAACCCTAAGCCTCCCCCAAACCCCCAAACCTTAAACCCTAAACCCCTAATCCCCAAATCCGACAACCCCGAAAGTAAGAGTTGGGATCATATACCCCATGCTACTGGCCCTTTCTAGGGTTGACTTAAACTACTATTTGAATAAGGACCCCCAAAAAACACAATAATTCTTCCTTACTCTCTTCTATTTCTTGGGAGATTCTACAGAATACCCTAAACCCAAACCCTAAACGCCATACCCTACACCCTGAACCAAGAAATCTTAGTAAAATAGTTCCCCCGAAAGGTGCAGCCCTTCATGTACCCCAAAATAGTAGACCTTATCATAAGAACCCCCCAAAAAAGGGCACCCCCAATCTCGGAATACCCTAAACCCTAAACCCTCAACCCTCAACCCTAAAGCCTAAACCCTAAACCCTAAACCCTAAACCCTAAACCCTAAACCCCCCCCCCCCGCCCCCAACAAAAAAAACGAATATGGGCTCCCCGACTTGGACTTCGGTGGCGGCTTGGCCCGCAGCTTCGGAGCCGACTTCGGCGACTTCGGGACCTCGGAAGGGGCCCGCGACACGGGTTGGTTGGGTTTAGGGTTACTTGGGGTTTGGGGTTTGGGGGTTTGGGGTTTGGGGTTTAGGGTTTGGGGTTTGGGGTTTAGGGTTTGGGGTTTGGGGTTTGGGGTTTGGGTTTAGGGATTGCGGTTTGGGGTTTGGGGTTTGGGGCTTGGGGCTTGGGGCTTGGGGTTTGGGGGTTTAGGGTTTAGGGCTTAGGGTTTAGGGTTTAGGGTTTAGGGCTTAGGGTTTAGGGTTTAGGGTTTAGGGTTTAGGGTTTGGGTTTTGGGGTTTGGGGTTTGGGGTTTGGGGTTTGGGGTTTAGCCCCCATCCCCTAAAGCCCCGGGGAACATGGCCTTGCCTGCGAAGAGCGCGTCGTGGCCGCATTCGCCCTGCCAAAACTCCGACTCTTTAGGGTTTTGGCCACGGGGACGCGTTTCCGGACCCAGCACGCCTGTCCATCAAATTCACCGTCGTGACCGTTCGCGAAGGACGGGAGGCTGTTGTAGCACCTGCGCCCAAACGAGCGTTCGGGCACCTGAATCCCCAAATTCCCCCTAGATCCTCAAAGAATTCCTGAAGGTGTTTGGGCGCGACCTCGGGGGGGCCCCCCGCCTATGGACCGAAAAGAGGGCTCAATTACCTTCAAGAGGCACTCTACAGGCCTATGGGCATAACATGACACGACATAAAGGGCTCGGAAAGCCTCAAGAGTTAGCTCCAGTGAAGTTTGCAGCGTAGCTGCGCGCATGCCCTCCCTCTTCCTCCCCCAGCAGGGCCCTTTTGTCTTCCATCGCTGGCGTCCCCGTTGCTGGTGGCGCGATCACGCGACGACGCCCAGAAGGGGCGCAGAGGCGTGCAGAGGGGCGCAGGCGGGAAGGACTCGATCGGCTCGGGCCCACTTGGGCTCTCGGAGGCCACCCCGAGGTTTTCTCGGCAAACTCCCAGAGCTCCTCCTTTTCCATGTAGAGGGAGGGGAGGGGAGTTGTTTTTGTTGCCTTTGTCTGTGTTTTTCTTGGGGGCCCTGGGCATTCTCTTGCTGAGAGTCATCTCTTTTTGGCCCTCGAAAGGCCCGCGGCCCGCAGGCCTCCGCCACTGAATGCACCCCGTAAGGAAATTGCCGCACCTGAACTCCAGAACTCCAGAACCCCCCCCCCCTCCTCTCCTTAGTCCTCCTTCTCAGGCTTCGCAGGAAGGCACTCGCGGGAGCGCCTCAGTTGAGGGGAAAACTTCTTAACTTGAGGGTTTCGGGTTTAGGGCATTGCTTGTAGTCCTCACCATTGCCCTCGAGCTCGCAGAATTCGAACTGCCAGCATTTAGGGGATTATTGGCGGCGTTGGGTGTTGAGTGTTAACTGGGGGTGGGCTGGGGGGACCCCAGACCCAGAGCTCCCCACAACAAGGGCAACTCTCTCCATGCTTCGAGCTTCTCCCACTGCTCTATCCGGCTGATGGCCCCAAGGCAGCAGCACACAAAGGTGCCGAAGAACAGCAGAACGGTGCAGAAGGCCGCCAGGCCGTTGAAGACCTGCGTGCAAGCAGCATACCTCCCCTGGAGGTTTCGCGACCGGCCCTTAACAAGCCGAGCTGCATAGTAGACCTCAGGTTCGCAGCTTCTTCAGTGCCCGCTCAAACCCTCAAAAAAGCATATGACTACTACAATGGCTGAAAGAGATCTCTGAACCGCTCTGAACCTCCTCCCAGCCACATTCGTCCAGAAGTCTGCGGGCGCTTCCAGGGGATTCTGCGCAATGACTTCCGCGTGCGTGGGCATGGCGTTCAAGACGGAAGCAGGTATGTCCTATCTACGCTGGTTGGGGTTTCAGGTTTCTGGGGTCGCGTACTCGAAGGTCGAGATCGCTGATGCAAAAAATCAGTCGGGGAGGGCTGCTTGTTTTGCTGCTTGGGCGGTTTTGGGGGGAGGGTCGTCGTATCTTGGATCTTCCCTCTCTTCAGCAAGGCTGGTAGTCGACTAACGTGATTTGCATTATTGAGCACGGTAAAACGGATACTTTGAAATGCGCTAAGTTGCTGGAGAACGCATGAGTCCCTCGACATGAGGTGGCCCACTCGACAGCGGCGACCCTTTGCCGCTTGCACATCATCCCGATGCAGAGAAACGGGAAAACGTGGAAAAGTATCCGCGCATGCTGCGCGGCTGTAAAATTGAAAAACCTGGACTGGACGGTCTCCCGATATGCCATGAGCCGGCGGAGGGTAAAGGTTGGACAGTTCGACTCCAGACATCCGCGGGAGATGACAAGCCAATTCATGACGATGGTCAGCCTCCCAGCCGTCCCTCCATCGTCTCAAATCGGAGCCGCGCTCCTTTGAGAACGTCCAAAATTATCTAATTATCCCTAGCCTCCAAGGCGCTGAGGAGCTAAGGACTGACTGGCCACAAAATGCCACTGCACTGCCGATCCATTCTCCAGCGATCTAAGTCCATGTAGCAAACGTTGGGCTCCACATTGCCCGGAGGAGCATCGTCCACCGAAACTTTGTCCCCAAATCTTGGGCTTGGCATCAGATAACTTGGCAGCTTCTCAACAAGGACGGGTCAACCACTCCGACCTTCTCCTGAGAAACCTGCAACTAGGTGCACCTTTGAGTCTGAGATCTTCTTGAAGATGCTGCTACTGGTAGCCTAGCAGCCAGATGAGAGGCTTGTCCCGATGATCTCTCTGCATTCTGACTTCAAGCAACAGCTGATCCCCTCTAGTTTGCATCTTTTTCGGGTCGCCCAAGGCCCAAGGCAGGGGCGACGGATGAGCTGGCGGTGTGGCTTGTGAGACCCTGCTCGGTGCGCCCAAGGAGTTCACGCCAGCTCTGAGATGTAGGTGATGTCCTCAGATGGGCTTTCAGGCTTTTCAAACGAGGCCAAGAGGTTTCAACGATGGTCATGGAGTATGAATCCTACGGTCAGCTCTCCCGAATCTGGTCCTTATTCTGGTGCCCTATATCATATAGGCTATATGGTTTTTCGTGTACACACAATGGTCCCTAAAATGTAGTGGGCACCCAAAAAGAGGCCCCCCGAATTCAGGGAGGCCTACCATATAAAGGAGCTTAAGGTATCAAGAACCTTGGCACTCTTGGATTTTGGGGAAATGGCAAGGCAGGGCTTGTCAGGGTTCTGTTCGCTTAGCCCCAGCCCTAAATACCCGAAACCCTGGTGGATTGCTCCCTAAAGTCTTGAACTCCTCAAACCCTGAACGTGTTCTCCAGCGATTGCGGCCTCTCGAACGGGGATAAACTCGGGACCCCTACGTGCAAACCTGAACAGGAAGGCCCCAACCGCCCCCCCCGGACAGCTCAAGCCAAGGATCGTCCCAGGGATGCCGGTAGAGGGGCTGCTTGAGCCTGCAGGCGGTGTAGGGTTGAGCAAACCCTAAACCCTAAACCCTAAGCCCTAAACCCTAAGCCCTAAACCCTAAACCCTAAACCCTAAACCCTAAACCCTAAACCCTCCCGATGCTCAAAGCTTCGAGGTCCCCCGAGCTCACCTCAGCTGGTCCAGGTGGTGGCCGATGAAGCCTGAGAGGCGTGCTTTCCGGGAGTAAACAAGAAGCTCCTCGTACTTTATGGCGACTCTCAATTATTAGGCTTCGCCACACCCTTGAAATACGAGTTGCAATCATCCAGCGCTTTTCAGAGATGGGAGCCGAGAGTGGGGGGGGGGGGGGGAGGATGCCCAACATATACCAACCCCAGCTCGTGGCTGCAGCCGCGTGGCCCATGGAACGACCTAGGACGAAAAGGCCGTTGAGGCAGCCAAAGGACATCAGGTCATCTGCCTCTCGGTGTTTTCTAGGGCCAGGGCACATGGAGGAAGGATCAGACAGATGCACGGATGAGAAGAAGGGGGGGTTGGGGGGGTTATGGGCCCAAAGGCCCCCAGGCTGTTTCTCAGGGCTCGGCTTAGCGCCGAGACGAAGAAAGGCATTGCGAGTCGAGGCTTCGCCATCGACGGCCCCGCGCCTCTTCTCTGGAGAACGCTCCGCAGGAGCGCAGCATGTCAGTGAAGCAGACCTTCGAGGGCCCATCGTCTACCGTGAGATCTGGCGTGGCTAATTAGGCTCTGATCCGCCACTCAGAACAGAAAAACATGCAACGAATCCCTCTGGGCAGGCCACTGCGATGCACCCGTCCACGTTCAGGATCAGGTTGGCTCGTTTCCTGCAGCGTCCATATACCATGTGATAGAGTCTGATAGAGAAGCATGCGCGGAGTGGACATCCCTTCCCTTTGTGCGCATCCAGCTTCACACAATGTCTGGCCTTGTGGTGATCTGCTCCACTGCCAATGCAAAGTCCTGCGAGCAACGCTCTGCATCTGCCAAATGAGTTCAGCCGATTCCACCAGCAAGGCTTTCTGGCCCAAGATTTCGGTGATTGGTGCTCAGGGAGGGTCCAAGATGCTGTTGTCTTTGAAGAACTTCTTGGCGAACTCCTTGATGATGACCACCTCATCCGCATGTCGTGTGTCGTTCTCGTCATCACTAGGTCAATTCAGAAGCCGAGCATCCGTATCCTAGGAAGCCCAAGACCACAGGCGCAAAGCCGACCCTTGGCCGTCTTAGCTTAGCTTGGGACTCGCTGGTCGGGGTTGGCCAGCGACTTGATGCGGTGGCCTTAGAACGCAAAAACCACGAACAATTGGCACCCGCAACCCTGTCGCAACGTTGGGGGGGAGGGAGGGGGGCAGCCTTGGCCTTCTCCGCCAAACTCGTTTCTCGAAAGCTCCTTCTTCGAAAGGCTCTGGGCGTTCTGGGATTGTCATCCGAACCCGAAGGACAACAGGTCACTGCGCAAAGCCCTGCACCCTGGGCAACCCCAGGTTCTCTGAACATATGTGAAAACGTCTTGCTATCTGCCGACCCGAAAAGACGGCGCCAGTGAAGCCTTCTGGCTCGGCTTCGGCATTCCCATATGCTTGATGCTTTAGTTTTTGGCTTAGGCGTGTTAAGTTTAGGTCACAAGGCATTGCGGTACACTGCTACACTGCATCCCCCATGAGAAAAAGACCCTGCATCCCGCATGAGAAAAAGAAAACCTCGGGTGCAAGTGTCCACCCAAAGCCGACCACAACAATGGCAGGAGCTAGGTTCGTGCAGGGTCGCTGAACAGGCGTGGCCGGCTCCAGTAGATTCATCCTCTGCCCTTCAAGAGGAAATAGATGCAAGGGAACCCGAGTCCACATCACGATGAGAGCTGGGCCGACGCCCATGATCAACTTGTTCTGCTTCTTGCTCTGCTCGACAAAATCCTGCGGAAGGGAGGGGGTGGTTCTGAGAAAAGGTGGGGCAGACCTCGCCTATACGGAAAAAACATCCACATACAGGGCCTTTTGCTGAGCTGTGCAAGTCTACGCTCCGTCCTTGGCCGAGATGCCGCTGTCGTGCGCTTCCGCAAACCTTGGCTACCGCCGGAGAGGTGAACGTTGGACTTCGGGGCTGAATACCCTAGCCCAAAAACGGTTAAAATAAATATATAATTCGCCTCGGCTTCCTGCCGAGAAGCGTCTGGAACAAGCAGACCCGGATCGGGCCCCCTCCCCCCTCCCCCCCCCCACCTCCCCCCACCCCCCCCCCTTTAACCTTGCTGCCCTTCCTCTTTTTTTGCGAAACCCTCTTTCCTCCTTTCCTGTCCTGGGGCCGGCCCGGCTGCCGAGGCGGCGCGCGCAAGCGTTTACAATTATTTATATATATATATATATATATATATATATATATATATATATATATATATACATATAACCAAAAAGGTTAAAAGGTTAACTACCCAGCTCCGCGATCGTTTATGGAGGAGAGAAAACCTTACGGGCCCTCTAGAAGAGCCCCAAAACCCAACACCCTAAACCCTAAACCCTGAACCCTGAACCCTAAACCCTAAACCCTAAACCCTAACCCTAAACCCTAAACCCTAAACCCTAAACCCTAAACCCTAAACCCTAAACCCTAAACCCTAAACCCTAAACCCTCCAGAGTCTTTCGAGGATCGCAAAACTGATGCTGGGTTTCTTGGCATGTTCGCGGCGTCGTCGAGCGCACCCCCGAAGCGAGGTCCGATGGTGAGCAGACCTGGCAGAACAAGGGTTTAGGGTTTAGGGTGTTTAGGGTGTTTAGGGTGTTTAGGGTGTTTAGGGTGTTTAGGGTGTTTAGGGTGTTTAGGGTGTTTAGGGTGTTTAGGGTGTTTAGGGTGTTTAGGGTGTTTAGGGTGTTTAGGGTGTTTAGGGTGTTTAGGGGTTAGGGTTTAAGGCAAGCGGACAGCCGGGCATCCCCCGGGACGCAGCCTGCCCTGGCAGCCCACAGACAATCATGCAGGGATCTCCGCTGCAGAGTGCGCTCACAAGGTCCTTCCATGTCGGCAGATGGTGCATTTAGAGGGTGGCCGACTTTCTTGGGGGCTTTTGGGTGACGACTTTCTGCGTTTTCAGTAGCCCCCCAAGAACACCTCACATGAAAGCGGACACCCACTAGCTCCTCAAGAACGTGTGGAGTCATGGCACTTGGGGTTCTTGGGTTTTAGTTTTAGGGTTTAGGATTTAGGGTTAAGGGCTTATGGTTTGGGGTTTGGGAGATGGTCACTCGGAGGGTGGGGCAGGAAACTGCGGGGTTGGGGGTTGAGGGCGGCAGTGGGTGCTGCCGAACATCACAGAATGGAACGGCCTGGTCTTCATGCTGAACGGGCTGGCGAAGTTCGGACGAAAGGGAGGCGCCAAAATGAATGCCCGGTGGTCTGCCAAAAATGCTAACAGCATGAGCAGCGCACAGGAGTCGATGCTCTAGGGCTTTGGGAATTTTGGGGATCAAACCCCTCGACCAGGCCCCAAATTTGAAGGATTGCGCCAACCTGAACTCTGGCACCCTTTGCTCAATGCGCAGATGACACTCTAAGGGGACTTACATGGTCCCTTAGTATGGGCCCTTAAAAGGGTACCCCTTATACACCCTTTATGTAGCCAATACACATGTATGGGCCCATGAAACTACCCTCAGAGACACAACTCTGCAGATCAAGTGTTGTTCAGTCCTTGCCCGCTCGCGCGGTCCTGTCACAGGGTCCATCTTCGCAGCTGGATAACTTCTACAAGATCCAAACCCTAAACCCCCAAAACCCTAAACCGGTTCAGTCCCTGTCGAGGGAGGTCATGGGAATGGTATGCGATGGGTTCTCCAGCAGGAGAAGAGTCCGGGAACTTCCGAGCCCGAAGGCAAACTACCAACCGAGGAAGGCTTGGCCGTTAGGAAGTCGCGCCCTCAACCCCAACTAGCCAGGCGCACACGATGGTGTTGTGAGCGCCGCTGACTGCCGGCCCGTGGTCGGCCGTGACCTTTCACCATCCCGATCGCATCCATAGCAACACGCGGAGCAAGTGCCGGAACTTGTAGCACTTATATAGTGTTGGCGCCCATCCGACCGTGCCCTCATCCACCCAGCACGAATGCACGCCCTGCTGCAGACGGCCAAGGGCGCCACCATCAGAATCATCTCCTCAGGGAAGTCTCCGAAACCGAGAGCTGTAGTGATGTAGTATGATGTAGTGTCTTCGGGATGCGCAAGACGTGTTACAGTGCTGTCAGGCCACGATGAACTTGCAGCATTCGGCAGGCAGCTGCCTGCCCAAGGGTGTCTGGTGACACAGTTCTAGGGCTACGGAGACCACAGTTGAGGAACAGACGAAGTATTGCATGCGAAATCATCCGACGAACTCTACAGCAGGCTTCTCTTTCGACTGGAAGCATAAAGAGCATGCAGAAGCGCACGGGACTACTCCTTGAGCACGCCTCCTGAACCAGAGGAGAGACAAAACGCCACCCACACCTGGCACAGCGGCTCTCACCCCGACGCGAAGATGCATTGACTGGGAACCCGAGCGAGGCCCCGACCCATGCTGCGCGAAAAGACGTCAGAGATGCTAACACCGCAGTACTTCAGCTCCTGACCATTCCAAAAAACTTTACGAGTTTCGCAGCTAGTCCCTGACATGGGAAGCCCTCATCCTTGCAGCCTAGGCATGGGTGATCACAGGCCTGTTGGGAGTTGCCGAAACGTAGGGTCACGCTCCCAAGCGGCTGATCCCTATTAAGGGGCCCTGCAATTTATGGAAAACTCCGCACGTGTCAAGTTGATCTGTGGCAGGATCCGCGGGGCAGGTGCCCTGCGGCGTCTTACATGTTCCATGCCGAGAACTACCCTAGAGCTGCGCAATCAACACCAGCGCCCCGGCAAGATGCACGTCCTCCCCCCGATCGTCGGCGATGGAGCTGATGAAGTTTGCAGGCTTCCTGGGAAGGAGGATCTCAAAGCCGCTAGGAAGCACTTGGGGGGGGGCGCTTAATTTGCTTCGATGAGGGCTTATGGAGGGCTCAGTTTAAGGTTTAGCGGTGCTTCAAGGGGCTTTAATCCCTCCACCCCCCCCCCCCAAAGAAGTCGCCCAGCAGTGGCGGAGACGCCCCTCCAGGGCCCCCTGCCGTACCATGCCCAGCTTCTTCGCCCAGGTGTAGTCCACGGGCACCTGGGCTTAGGGTTTTAGCGTAAAGGTTCAGGGCCTTAGGGCTTAAAGGGTCTTATAGGGTTCCCTGAACCTGAGTTCGCCCTGAACTGCCCGAAAAACTCAAACCCCGAAATTGCAAGACCGTTTCAAGAAGCTTCCCAAACAAAGCAATTCTGGGGCGGCCTGGGGCGTCTCGCCTTCCGGCTCCTGTGGCACCGCGATGCAGCTCGGCAAGAATACTGCCTGTACCCTGCATTTGACAGGCATGACTACTGTTTTCAGAACCCCAAAGGAAGAAATAATAATAATAATCCCTATATTACCCTTATAAGGAAGAATATATTTTATTCTTTGGTGGTGCTTAAGCAATTAGTAGATGAGGGACAAGGCAGCTTGCTTAGATTGCCTCCACAATCTCGCCCTCCTCGACCATCTTCGTGTACCTGGTGGCTTGGGGATACGATTAGGCTTCCAAGCCTTTAAACCCTACATCCTGCCTTAATCCTACTCTGCATAGACATGAACAGAAAGTTTCCACTACAGCATGGTCTTTCTCGGGCCCCAGCAAGTTGCTGATCGTCTCCGGCAGCTTGTCAAAGGAGTCGGGAACAATGATCCCCGCTTCCTGCAGATTTTTGGTAGTAGACTGGTAGGAGCAATTCTCCTGGCATTGAAAATTTGTCAAGCTTTGGGGCCTTCATCGCCGCGTTCTTGGCCATGGCCGTTTCCGTCTGACCCCTGGCCTCTCGCGTCACCGGCGTGGTACTTTCAGGTGTTGGCCAGGGTTCCTTATTATAAGGGAATCCCACTATTCGGGGCCTATTTTAAGATATGGTTTACGAAAATAGGGGTACCTTATCGGGGTCCTTATTAACAGGGAATCCTACTATTTAGGGTCCCTTACTTTTCGTAAGCCCCCATATCTCTGGATCTTCCGCAACACCACCACCCACAGGCTTGGCCTGGGCGCCAGCGTGGCCAAACTGCACCTCGAGCAAGACACAGGCAAGTGCCACTTGGGAGATTTCCAAGCCAGGCTCCACATGCGCAAGTCTTCCACAACGATAGCCCCATACAGGTAGAGAGATCAACAAGCCCATTGTCTTTGTTGAGGCCTCGGTCGCGAAGCAGGAGGCGCAGGTTCCGACGCACCAGGCAATGACTGGCAGCAGACACAGGGATGGAAAGGGCTTGGGGTGATTGGGATCTTCGTCGCCAGGGTTTGGAATCTCGAGGCTTTAGGGCCTCAGGGCAAAACAGGTTCAGGCCACGGGTGTTTTCAGTGTGGAGTGTCGTGCATGCCAGCAAGTTCTTGGGGGGCCCCCCCCCTCCCCCGCCCTGTGCCCCCAGTTGCAAAGCTTGCAACGCAGTCCTACCCCAGTTACTTGCAAAGCAGCAAACCCCTCACACCATACACCCAGAAAGCATCCACAAACCCCTCTCCAAAGTCTTCCCCCCCGAACACCCAAACACCCAAACACCTAAACCCTAAACCCTAAACCCTAAACGATCTCTCTAGGAAGACGCCTGGCTTGTCGATGCGGCCAGACTTCACAGCCTCGGCTGTTCTTAGAATCCCTTCTTTAGGGGCGGAGGATTTAGCGCGAAGAAGCGCAAGCAGAAATAACAAGGGTTTAGGATTTAGGTTTTAGGGTTTCGGGTTGAGGGTTTAGGGTTATGTAAGTTCTGAAAGCAGTCTAGCAGCCTTGATCACGTCGTACTCATCCTGTCCACCCACCTGGTTTTGAGGGGCTTCTTCGGGGCTTGAAGGGCTCAGGAGCGTGTCAGGTTTCAGGGTTTCGGGAGTTGAGGGTCTGTAGGGGATCTGACTCAATTCGAATGGACCCCTGAAAGGGACCCTAAACTAGGGAACAGGGTTTAGGGGTTTTAGGGTTTAGGGTTTAGGGTTTAGGGTTTGGGGTTTAGGGTCCCCTGTGAATGCCAGGATGCACCTCGCCCAGGAGTAGGAGGATCTTTGCTCCAGGCGCGTCCTCGCAATTTCGCGCCCGAGGACTTCCAGAAGTCTGGGGGACAACGGCATCTGAGCAGCTTTCATGTCACGGGATTTTGGGTTTAGGGCTTCGGGTTTAGGGCTTAGGGCTTAGGGCTTAAGAGTGTGGGATTCATGTCATGTGGGTTAGAGGTACGGATCGTTTTGGGTGTTAGCTCTGCAGACTCAAAGCAGCACTCCTGGTAGCGTAGAAGGTGATCGATGAAGCGGCTACCAGGATACCTGGCGGCACATGGTCGCGGCCAGATTCGGGCACGGCGTTTGAGAAATGTCGTTTCCTTCTCGAACAGGGAGCTGCAGAAAGGTGCTGAACAGGACAGGATTAAAAGTGAGACGTACAGTCGTGGTAGGATGGTGTCAACAAGTCTCGCACCCTAGCCTGCGATCCGACATGTTGGCGCCCTCTTTGAGGGCTTCTAGAAATCATATTGTTGCTCGCACGATGCACGTTTGTGGTACGGCCCGATCTGTACCAAAACAGGCTTAACGACATCCAGGAGACAGAGCACAGAAAGTTTCATGCCGCAGGAATAGAAGGTGCTGAATTCCAAGGACACTGCCGAAAGACCCGCATGGTACATTGATGTGATGTGTGTTCACGAAACAGCCAGGTGGCTTGGGGACAGAGACACGCTTGCAACAACAACTTGATGGCAAGGCATGGTTATGCGCAGAGGAACGGGCAAGAAGCTGCGCGAGGCTCACCGGTCTCCACCAATCGCCACACCCTCGTAGACGCCATTGGAGTTGCGGCAGATGATGTTGTTCTGACCGGATGCAGGGTTGATGTCTTGTACGAGATTAATCTGCACAGTCGAGCTTGCAGCATGGGAATCTGGATCCGGTCTCCCGGGCTGTTGGTAGAACTGCTGCTGTTGCTGTTCCTTCTACTCGGCAAATTCCATGCCGCCAAGTGGCGAGCTCGTTAGACATGCCTCCTGACTTTGAGACATAGGCCACCTGCCACACAAGACCGCCCGCCGACATCCGCCGACAGTGCACCAAACCTAGCACTCTGAAGCAGAACAAACCCGGAACCTGAAAGCCAAAGCCAAGAACACAAACCTTCAATCTGAAAGGTTTGACTGATCTTGCAGGCGGGCAGCAGACCCCGGCCGGTACAACCGGGACATGACAACGTTGTCCAACATTCCGCCTCTTAGGGACGCGTTAAAGGGCCCGGCAGGCTCTCCCAGGGTTATGGGTGTTGGCGGTTTATGGTTTCGGGTACCCAAGGGCGGTCTCAGCAACAATCTCAAGCGGCAGATGACAGCATAATACTCAACTGCTCAAAGAACTGTAGGGCTCACAGTGCACGGCCTGTGTTGCCGATGCGGATGCAGCCAGGCCTCATCCCAGCGATCTAAAGATTGGAAGCCAAACCCTAAACCCTAAACCCTAAACCCAGGCGTCTTGGCTTGCAGTGCCGTGTAGTTTCTCCTAGGAGTCCACGTGCCTGAAGCCATTGACCCTAGTGCGGGGCCTTTTCGGCCATCCACGCTGCTACTGCACTTATCCAGAGTAGTGCCTGGACACTGCACTTGACCAGAGTAGTGCCTGGATTGGATCACAGTGTGGACATTTGTTTCCTGGTGGTGCCAATATTTGCGAAGCCTGGTGCCTTTTGATCAGGTTGGCAACCTGCTGGTTTTTTCCTGGACCTTTTATGAGCACTGGCCATAATTGGATCCTCATTCTGAGTGTCCTTTTCTGCGGGCATCATTCCCTCAGAACCTGCCTGGCATCGGAATTTGCGTCGGAAACGCACCAAGGCGAGAACCAAACTGAGAGTTGCACTCAGTGGATCAAGCTTCACAGCGAGGGACCTCGCGAAGTCGATTGGAGTTCTCGCTGGCCATCACTCGGCAAGCACATTGGTGGCCAAGGCACAGAAGCTAGTCAGCAAGATGCAGACGGGAGCCTGGCGTTGCAGCACCTGCCGTCAGTATGTGAAAGCCCAAGCCAGCTATTGTCCTTCCTGCGGGTTACATTGGACACAAGCGGGAGGAGAAGCGCCATGGAAAGCAGGTGGACATCACGAGGCCACCTATCACTGGCGACACACTCCAAGTCCGAGACGGCGAACGACTTGGCAGTCTCCGAGGAGACGATCGGACAAGGGCAAGGGCAACAAGGACAAGAAGACGGGCAAAGGCAAAGACGCGCACCCAAGCAAAGGCAAGGGACCGGCCGAGACGAGCAGTACAATTCCGCGTCTCGAGCAGCTACCAGTTCCACCGGCGCCTCCGGCATTGCCCAGGAATGCGGCCGCACCACCGGCACCCAGTATGGCATCGACAGACGAGAAGAAGCTGTTGGACTCGCTGCTGGGGGAGCTAGGTCGGACGGATTGTCAACTCCCAGACGGAGTGAAGGCCATCATGGCACAGGTGTCGCAGACATCAGTGCAGGGCGAAGCCAAGGCTTTGCACAAATTGGTTTCCCAACGGAAGACTGCGGCGACATCCATCCAGAAGATTCGCCAACAGAGGGAACAGTTCGAGGCGGGCTGGGCTTCTTACGCGCAGTCGCTGATCGACGCGCTGACAACGCAGTTCCAAGAGCGCGAAGACGCACTCATGCATTTCGATGCGAAGGAACAAGAATGGTCCACACTCCTCAAGGAGGCAACTCAACAGCTCAAGGCTGCGACGAATCAAGAAGCAGGAGTCAAGCCGGAGGAGGACATGGACGGCATAGAGGAAGAGGTGGCAGACACAGCACTACGGGATGCACAGAATGCCACTCGCAGGGAACAGATGATGGAGCAGCACAAGAGAATGCGGATCGCCTTAGAGGAGGTGCGCGACACGGCTATTCTTGGAGCTGGATCCAGAGAACACTCGAGGACACCAAGACGAAAGCTAAGACAGGAACCAGAAGATGCAGAAAGTGTGTCTTCGACAGATCAGTCCAAGTCTGGTGTCACCTCTGGTGCTGCATTGCCGCCGCCGGCAGCCAAGGCTGCAGCCAAGGCTTCCACAGCCGCCAAGGATGCGCAGAAGGATTTTTGATATGCCCACTGCCGAGCCTCACGGGACCCAGTGGGCTAGATGCTCCGACATTTTGTCGTCGAGCCAGCGAAGAGCATGTACCGGAGCACTCCGTCTTCAAGGAACCTGATTTTGTCAATGTTTGGCATGCGGGGCTTCTGGCACACTGCTTGCACTACGATGTGATCTTCCATGACGGACACACAGTCACATGGCGAGATCCGAGGATTAACAACGGAATCGACGACGGCCCGGCTTTGCACACGCGCAACCAGGCATGTTCGTCTTATTGCAATCCCGGAGCACCTCGATCATCTCCGGAGATTCATGCAACTACCTCCTGCAGGCAGCAGAATTCCCATAGGCTGCCCCTGTTTTGCACATTTGAAGACAGCTGGATCGTCAGCTATAATCGACTTGCCAGGAGGGCCAATAGAGTCCTCTGCAAAGTTCCCAATTTCGAAGGGATCCTCATGCCCTGCACCGCAACACGCGAGATCTCCCGCGACACTCGGGACAAACCTGTTGCTCGACCGGAAATTCCCAGTAAGAGCCACAAGAACGGTGCCAACACCAGCATGGGGTGTTCTCCTACCTGGACCAGCAAGTTCCTCTATTCACAGCATCGCAAGCCGCCTATCCATCGCATGGTCCTTCACCCATGTGACACGACGAGCACACAGCTCCAGGCAGGGCCATTCTGTCTTGCACTGCCAGACAGTACAGGTAGACCGGCCAATGCACTTGAAGACAGCCCAGCAGTGTCTGTCTATCTTCCGATCCCAAGTGCCGACCTCGAGACCTGGCTGCAGGATAGCGGTTCGACGACATATGTGTTCTTCGATGTCCAAGATCACTACAGACGGAGGCAACTCCTTCCAGGATGGGGCCTCAGAGACATCATTGAGGATGCTGTCACCAATTCCAGAGCACAGCCAGTTCATGCCGCTAGGATACTTAAGGTTCCTCTTTCGGGTTTACCCGTAATACAGGTGGTTCTTGACTCTGCGAACCTACCACCATACTGGATCACCACTCCAGTTGACATTCGTGCACTTGATGAGGCAATTTGCACCATCGGCGTCCCAGATGAAGCATCGGCTTATGAGGTTGCCTTAAGTGTTGATAGGTTCTGCAGACTGCGAGCACCACTGGCGACGAATGTCGCCCGCGGCAGAGTCTCCTTCTGCCCGCCCGGGACCATCCTGACAGATCCTTTCAGGCCGCATATCTTGGACAATCAACAAACCATCATAGGTCTGCCGCGGGGAGAGAGGCATGCTTCAGAGTCATCATTAGATAGTGGCAGCACCGCAAGCTCTACCTCTGAGCATAGTGATTTTCACTGCATTGAGGCTCCAGAGGTTCAGGTAAGCGAGGGGTTCACTGTCGCCTTTCATGCAGTGGGCCACCCCCCGTGGGTGCACACCTTTGCTTCGACGGCCACACCGTCGCATGTTGCAGCGCACGCGTCTCAACATATGGCCTGCCAGACCAGCCAACGTAGCTGGCGCACCCAGTTCCTCTGGCGCCAGCCAGTGGTTAGCGGAGTGGACCTTCATTGCTTGCTTACCCCGACGGAGAATGCACCGGCAAGAGGTGGCGTTTTCCTCGCAGACTTCCGTCGCATTTTCGGCCCTGGCCTAAGGGGCTTAGCGGCACTCCCAGCAGAACCCCATACCCCTCAGACCACCTTGATCATGCGAGATGCGGCTGTCCGGTGCTTACATGATTGGGCGCTTGCCCATCCTCCTTTGGAGTTCGTGGTCACGACAGCTAGAAGGGGTGCTCTTCTAGTTCCAGAAAGTGAAGATGCGTGCGCGGTAGTCGAAACTTTCGACATAGCCATCCAACTTCCCGGTTTCAGGCAGATTCTTCTGACCCAACACCCCCCTGTCGGAGCTGTCGAAGGAACATCACACACCGTCATACCTTGCCCAGACAGACCCTCCACCACCACCACCACAACCGCCATGCAGGGAGATGAACTGCCGTACTTTGTATGGCCTCTCCCACCGAGCAATCCACTCTTGGTGCGTTTGGGGGTTGCCTCAGCGGGGGTTTTCACTGTTGAGTTTCAGGGCAACCCTCCAGCAGAGGAGATAATGAGCAGAGTCTGGGCTGCTGCTGCCCAAGAACACAGCTTCACCGAGCCTCTCGATGTCCATCTCGCACCCTGTCAGCCACCAGCATGGGTCTCGCACAGGGAAGTGTTGATCATTGCCTCCCCGGCTCAGGATCAGCAAGATGAAGTGTCTGTTTGGCTTGACCTACGGCCGCAGGGAACGTTGACCTTCCGTCGTGTCAAGAGACACTTGCAGCCCGAAGCCCTTCTAGGTGAACTTAAAGGGTTCAAAGGTTTATACCGCAATGGACAGTTGTGGAGCACGCCTGGTCAGCTAAAGGACGGTGATTACATTGCAGGGTCTGTCGTGCCACAAGCCCCAGACGTCCGCCCCAACGACTACTTCATTCAAAGGGTTGCCCGACTCAGCGCCCTGCTCATCCCATTGACCACGAGCCCACAGCTTTTGTTTGAGACCACCACCTGCTATGAGCTAGATCAAAGCATGGCCTTGCGTGCATGGTCAGAGCTCCTGCAAACACGATCTGATGCCCTTGGACTCGAGCATAACCCAGTGGACACCTTCCTCATCATTGGTCCTCGTGTAGAGATCCAAGGGGCATTGAAAGGTGATGCGCTGAACATAAAGTCCGTAGGGGAATGGGCGCAGAGATGGCTTTTCCCCATAGTAGGCCGTTTCATCCTGCACGATACAGAGGGCCTAGTGCAAGGCAGGCGACTGTTCATTCACACATCACCTGACATGAACTCCTTTGAACAATACATCAGGATTCATGTCACAGGCAATGCTGTGCAGGCATTTACGGTCCCTCACTCCACATCGCCGAGCGAATTGGTCAAGATCGCACCCATAGCAGATGCGGAGTCCAGACCAGTTCCGGGAAGATCATGGTTTGGTTCGGTATTTCCCTCGACCAACCTGCATAGGGCTCTCGACATTCACTCAGGATCGGCGACCCTCCCTTCAAGCGATGCGACCACACCGGCTGGAGCAACATCCATGCTCGCCACCCTCTCAAACTGGCGCAGGCAGCGCTTCCTACTGAGGGTTGCTGACATAGGGGAAGGAGATCCCGGCACAGCCATCGCGCTCGAGGCCTTAGAAAGGACTGCCGAAGAGGACACGCGTGCCACCACGACCACTACCACGGCTGCACGAGCACATCAAAGAGCCCGAGATGTCGTGCATGTACCGGGCAGGCCACTGCTTTTCTTGATTACTGGCAGCGCCATTGCTGGACAAGAGCTTCAAGAGATCACTTGTGAAAGC